AAAAAATAAAAAATAATTAAAAAAAAAACAAAACAAAAAAACAGTAACAACTGGCCTTGGGAAAAGAGTAAACCCAAGCACCATCTGTTCATATGATGAATTTGGTAAATGGAGTTTGATGCAACACCAGGCTGTAACAAGACCAGAAGCTATTAAAGAGTAAAGCGCTAACATTTCAGGTAACTTTAAGCAACAGCAGAAATGCTCACTCTGAAGTTACTGAACTTCGTCCCAACTCAGGCCCACCCATTCATACTTTCTTACAATCTTCTTGGTGATTTGCTGTGAGGCTTGTCCTTCGCAACAACTGTACTTTTTCATCAATAAAAGCTTCTTGGTGGGGAATTTCATTGTGAAGGGGTGACGAGTAAGAAATAGCCAGTTTCTGCTACTGAGCAAAAAGACATATCATATGAAACAAAGTTTTAATTTTTATTTTACATTATTTATACATAAAACTTCCAAGGAACCCTCTGAATCCAACAGAATGTTAATAGCACGTCTAAAAATGAACTTCAGATAGTCAACATTCACAAAATGTTGAAAACTGATTAAAATATACATATTACGGAGAGCTACAACTTCACTACGAGGCAGGCATGTATTTTTTGACTTGTATAGCACCGTCATTTACAGTTCTTTAAAACTACAGTGAAGAATGGAAGTAGTCAATGGTAAATACCGCTCCAACTTAAAATCTCTAAACAAATAAAAATAAAGTTAAAACTACCTTCCTTGATTTACCATGATTTGTGATGGTGTAAGTACTGTACATTTTTTGTAACAATATCTTATTAAAATGCCTGATATTAAGTGGCACAAGTAAAAAAATTAAAATAAATTAAGAAGCAAAGGCCAATCACTGGACATTAAGCTTCAGACATTATCAATGACTAACACTGATATTTATTTGTTTCTGCGCCACCTTTTAGTAACAGCATTTTTACAACCACAGAAGCAAAATAAATTCTAGCTCGTCCTCTGGTTGGGTGGCTTCTTCTCACTTTGCAGGCATTTTCTCTGCCATGTGCTTTTGCTGACTTTCAGCGTGTCTGCAAAATTAATAGAACAGTTATTTAGTTTAAAAAGAAAGACCCAAACTGTTTATCAATCTACAGCTAAAATGTGCTCCAAAGTTTGGTTCAAAGTTACTCAGAGTGAAATGTATGAGAATCAAAGAAAAGACCTTATTCAAACCAATTTGGCCTCTTTAATTTTTATCTTCCACTTATGATTCCTTTTATTTTTAAACAGCTGGATTAACTCAATACCTACAGATGTTATTACCATGAAGAAGAAATACATTATGTTTGGAAGTGAGAAGAGGCAAGTGTCTGGGACACCTGTGTTAATAAATACTTGCAACATGCCTTCTTCATGCCAGGGATGGCACCCTGTGCTGGTGTCAGGTGGTGAGCAAGACAGTGAGGTTTTGTTCTTGTTGGGAGCGTGCTCCAGTGAGGAAGGACAAGAAAGCAGCAAACAGCAAAGAGAGAAATAGGAGACAGAAAATGAATGTTAAACAGAAGATCCAAAAAAGGTGCTGTAATTGAGCGTAACTGAGTGACAACTTTATGTAAACACAGGTACGCAGACAGATGCAGGTATTAATGAAAACTTTTCACAGAAATCTGGAGCCACAAGGCAAGACAAGACAAGACAAGACAAGATCCCAGAAATCTGGAGCCAATAATCTAATTTGCTCATACAAAAGCTAATACCTAACAAATACAAGGTCTTTAAAGACCTATCATGCTGGCATAAAATTTTTCCCTCAGTTAACTTCAAGCACACTATCACAGTAGTGAAGGCGGGCCTCACAGAGGGGCAGGTGAGTCTTGTTATTTATTAAGCTCTGTTAGGAACTGTGAGGCCAAAGTTAGGCCAAGCTAGTCGCTGGGCCATGGAGGCAGGGGGAGACAAATGGCCAGGCTGTTCCTACCACTTGAATGGGCACTTCTCAGGGAATGGTAGCAAAAGGCTGCAAAGGACAGTGGACTTGAGGGATGGTTTTAGGAAATGTACATTCAGCAAGAGAAAAAGATGCAAGGATGTGGTTTCCAGCTGTATGCAAGGGTTTAGGAACAGTTTATGTGTGCTGCTTGGACTTGGGTCGTCAGTTATGTCAAGCTGAGCTCACTGGTTTTTATGCAGAATGTTCCATATCTATGGTGCAGACAAACCACAGATACTTTCAGAAATAGGGAAGTGAGAGCACCATCTTTGCCACATTCAATAGCCCACAAATAAATGGCGATGCTCACATAACATAAAGGAGCTCAGGGGAAAGACACCTTCACCGCTCCATTCTGTGAAAAGACCATCTTTTGTAGCTGACTGCCCTCTGGTTCTGGCTATGTGTATGAAAGAGCTGTGATCATTCTTTTAAAATTAGCTCATGTCTCTTAAATTCAACTCAAGAAATATTTTAGCATCAGTGAGCTAAGCTTCCGCTCTAGCTAATTTAACTGTAGTTCTTACAGCAGATGCTTTATTTTATACCCATGTGTGCATATGCAGAAACATACACTGGGGGCTTCTAAGACAGCAAAGCAGACAGGAGACAGCTCTGAAACACAGTGAAAGTTGGATGCTCTTTTGAGACACACATCCAAAGGTGAATGTTATTAACATTTGAAAGAAAGCAAGGCAAGAAGTTCAAGTCTTTAAAACTAAAAGGTTTTCACTGATAAATCACATTAAAGTGTTTTTAAAGATCTGTTTCACCCAGAACACACTAAGACATTTTTTATCAGCGATCATTACTGAGGACCTACTATATGTTCCACAGGTCTTGTGTTAGGCTCTGGGGATATGGCTCTAAATGAAATGAAATCACCTCTGCTCAAGGGAAGGCTGTTTGTCGGGGGATGACAAACATAACAGGGTCAATCTGCTGCACCTGAGACAGATGGGATGGGAGTGCACAACTGTGGCGATCAGGAACCAGGTCATATGGCTGGTGGTAACACTGCTGGACACCCACCATGTGGCTGCATGTATGCTGGGATCATGACAGTAAGGAACAACCCGGGCAAATTCCCAGGAGCCTCTGCTAGGCCAGAACTATTGCCATGACTTAGGCAGAGGTGACAATCCAACACAAAAGGATCATGACTATTAAAAAGCCAAGACTTTGGGGACAGGGAGGCCTCCACCTAAGAGGCATCCTCTGAACAGTGGTTCTCAAGTTGTGCTATGCTACGAACCACTGTAGAGCTTAAGGAAATCCTGATGCTCAGGCCACCCCACACAATAATAAAGTCGGCATCTCGGAGCAGGCCCACACACCAGTAGTTTACAAAACTCCCCGGTGGTTCTAATGAGCAGCCCACATCGAGAATCACTGGATGAACTGACACCCAGAAGGGCAGGAGTGGACAGGTGAAGGAAGCGTGGGAAGAAGAAAATTTCCCCTTTGTCTCCCCAGTGGAACTCTCATCCATCTGAGATCGTACGCTGCTGCAGGACACTGAGCCAGTGGTCTTCAGCAGGTGTTCCCTGGACGCAAAGTGGCTCTTCTGCAGCTGGGATCAGACACATAGCTTTCTCCCCACATGCAGATGGCTGTGAAGGACACCGTGCCCCCACCTATGGCAGGACTGCTCTAATTTCAAGGGCTCTGTCAGTGCCTCTTAATTAGTGACTCCTCACCTTTTTACCCACACTATGACTTGCCCCGCTTCCGTGATCACATCCTATTAAAAGTGTGAAGACACAGACATGCTGCAAGGTGGGCAAATCCTCACAGTGCCTCGTTAGGAAGGGCTGACAGCACTGCGTGGAGGTGGAGGGGAGGTCTCCTGTCCCAGAAAATCAGGCCTTATGGAAGGCGTCAGAGGTTTCTCAGAGAATGTAGATCCTTGTCTATGGCCACACCACCCTCAGCGCGTCTGAGCTTATCAAAAAATGTAGGTCCCGGGTGTGACTCACCACTGACTTCCCATAATCTCAATACTTGCATGCAAAGTCTCCCACTAACAAAAGGGGTCTGTTCTGCAGCTGTTAGTGTAGTGCCTGAATACGGCTCTAGGTGGCAGTAATGCGATTCGGGAGTTACTTGGTACTTCAGATTCAAGTATGCTCAGAGAGCATGAAAATTCCTACTGCTTTTAGGTGAGGGACAGACACGGTGATATAATATTTAAAGCACAATGAACAGTGCAGCCCATATTTCTTAAAAAAGATCTTACACATGTGTGCAGCACTTATTTTGCTAGCAAAACTTTACAGTAAATGCTACATCATTACAAAATAATTTTATTCGCCTTACTTACTGGGATGGGACCCTAGAGTAGGAGCTTGAGCCACAGCACTACCTAAGTTTATATGCTTCTCCGGGATGGCTCTGGATATGGGGTTAATTCCTTACATTAATACGACAAGCAGAGTTCTTTCTTGGGAGTCTTTAGCTCTCTGAATACCATTTTAGATAGTAATAGCAGCTGTTCTCTCCTGGCCTAAAGACTTTATATGGACTGTCTCAGAAAAGTGCCACAGTAAATTTGAAATGATAGCACTGTTTATATTATTTAATGTACTTTACATCCACATACATGGCATATCCACAATGTATGATGTACCTTTCTACAAGGAAAGTACTAAGAAATGGAAGATCTTGACCAGCATTAGTCTACTCGAGTGGTGGCGAAGCTAAGGCCTGCACGCCGCAGCAGGCACGCAGTGTCCTCTGTCTGCACACGAGCCAACTGTATGAGGTGTTTTTTCTAAACTAAGACCTCAGCATTCAGCATTCAGGTGTAGCTGCAGTGTTGGCACTTAACAATAAATGAATAGGTTTTCGGTTACAGTTTGGATACTTGGTCTTTACGAAGTTCTCTATCACTGGCCTACTTTTGCATCCCTTGGGAAGGGCACATTTGTTACCTTTATGGAGAGGCAGTTGGTTGGGAGCCAAGCTAGAAACTCAAGCCTGGACTTCCCCCCAGTGAGGACAATGTGATAGCACTGGGGCTGTGGAGAGACAGCTGTCAGGGTCCCTGCCTTTTGGATGTGGCAGAGATGATCTGGAGTTAGGTCACATAACAGCCAGCGCCCCTCTGTGGCTCCAAGTTTGCTGCTGCTCATGAGCTGGTGACATGCCATCGTGCAGTGGCTTGGGGCCAACGCCGTCAGGACCATCCTCCCAGGGCAGAACTGTCTCCCTGAGGTTGGTGAAAATGTAAAAGCCCTAAGTACTGACACTGCACCATAGGGGAAGAGGGCTGCTGGAAGCGACGCAGTTTCCAAGGTGTTCAGGCCGCTATTCTCCTTTCCACTCTTTGCTCCAGGCGAGCCTCATGTAAAAGTGGAGGATACAGTGCTCTAGAGCTAATTCTTGTCCTCGTTTTAAATTTCAGACCACCTGGGCTTCCTTCCTCCCTTGGAAAGGAAAGCCAGACTGACCTGGTCAAGTCTTCGATGTCTACCAGCATGGCGTCCTGCTCGGTGTGCAGCTCATCCCGGATGAGAAGCAGCTGGACCAACTCCTCGTTCAAGCCTGGGGCAAAGAAAGGAGCATTTAAAATAAAACGGCAGCCAAGTCTCAGCTGATGCCTGTGTTGACCACTTATCGGCATCTGGACACATACACATGTGTAAAGAGTGAGACGTCACAGTACAGATGTGGGCGTCAAAACAGTCTATTTCAGCTTTTTCAAAACTTACGAGAAGCAGCAGTTAGAGAAATACGACCAGTTTACTATTTTAGAGGTGCTAGAAGAAATACAGGGGTTAGAAGGACAGACTGCGCACCCTTACTGAAAATGCTCGCGACTGGAAACATTTCAGGTTTTGCTGACTTGGTGGTTTCAGAATATTTGAATTGATACTACTCCCAAATCCCAAATCTGAAACGTTCCAAAAAAAAAATTATTTTTTTTGTATTTTAGGGAAGGGTCTACAGGGTGTTCAGGGTCTCACTAGTAGATCAGACTCGTAGTGATCCGCTTGTTTACAACCTCCCAAGTGCTGGGATTATATGGGTGCACCACCACACCCAGTCTCAATTGCCATCTCAGCGTGCCCCGGGGACAGGGCCGGCATGGCAGGCCCGGGGATGGAATCCCCAGCCCCTGCACCTGCTTGCAGGTGCTTTAATCCGCTGAGCTATTGGGCTGGCCCTATTCCAAAATTTGAAACTTTCTGAACATTTCAAAGCATTTGAGATTTTAGATAGGAGTTTGGCGGAACCAGGCATTGAACTCAGGCCCTTGTGCTTGACAGGGAAGCACTTATTCCACTGAGCCATCTCCCTGGGCCTATATATTCAATTATGTTTATGTCAAGTAGAAAAAGAACCTGTTAGTTGCCAGGAATTAGCTTGTTAGAAAAAGTAGAATTTGTCTCTAAGAAATGAGCATGATCAGTTTTCTGTCCTTCATTTGCAGGCTGCTCCTTGCCACACTGACCACCATGGGATCCTGTTGGCACCTAACTGTGCTACCTCAAACACCCAGCTGGAGAGGTGGCCCTCCAGGCATGCACAGAGCCTTCGTGTAGCCCGGGGAAGTGGTTCTAAGGAAAAGTGTTGTGTGGAAACGCTGGAAAATCAGAATTCCTGAATAATCAGATGTGTAAAAGCTGAAGAAACAATGTTTAAAGTATCCAAAAAACAGAATGTCAGTGAAAATATTCCTTAGATTTCTACTGGGAATTAGATAGATAGATAGATAGATAGATAGATAGATAGATAGATAAAGATAGATAGAAACACTTCTAATTCCACCAAATCCATGCACTGAGTTAGCTGACTCTTGTCCATGAAAACTATGAAAAAGCAAAGGGCTTGCTCTTGCCCGTCTCCCTCACAGAAGCCCCTGCGCAGCCAGGCACAAACACAGCACTCAGCAATGTGAGACCTGGGCAGAGAAAGGAGAGAAAGGGCGGGCCACTTGGAATCCCCCCTCCCACTCTTGTAGAGATTCTGGCTTCAGTGGTCTGCTTATCGTCCTTAAATTCAGAGTAGTTTCAAATTTTAAAAACAAAGAAAATCATATTGGGCTGGCTAGATAGCTCAGCAAATTAAAGTGCCTGCTTAAGCTGACTCAGGATCCAGGGTTTGATCTGGGGGCGGGGGCGCGTGCCAGCCTTGTCCCCAGGGCATGCTGAGACAGAGATTGAGATTGGGCATGGTGGCCTGTGCTTGTAATCCCAGTGATGGGGAGGCTGAAAATAGGATCACTTTGAGTCCAATCTGTGTAGTGAGACCCTGTAGACACTGTACTAAATACTTAAAAAAAAAAAAAAGAAAGAAAAGAAAATCATGGTGGTGTATAAAATCTCATTGACTACCACAAAGGTCTAGATTTCAATTTTATTATCTAAGAGTCTAAAGAAGATGTTTCAGTGGTAAAAGACTGGAAAGGCTTTTCAGTCTTGGAATAAATAACAATTCTAGAAACTAATCTTCAGCAGAAATTAAATGTAGTTCTAGAATATATAGTTTTTAGAAATCCTGTAAATGTATGGTTACTTCATTAAAATCTTGAATCATTTCTTCTGATTTTAAAATGATACTGAATGTATTAACATGGCACTGCATAAGCTACTTTTTATTTAGAACTAGTGAAACATCTCATTTATTTCAGTGCGCTCTTGGAGTAGCTTTTTACAGCTACCACTCAGCAGAGTGCTTGCAAATCTGAGCCCTTAGTACACAGAAATATTTTTTCTAATACTGTTTTAAGCTGCTGTGAAAAGTTTCAAACAGATAGAGTAGCAGTGAGACTAGCTGATAAATCCCTGTACCTGCACCCAGGCCCAAGGAAGGACGCTCAGCTCAGGGCCAACCTACAAGCTCTCGCTGTGCCTCTGCTGGATTACTTTAAAGCAATGAAATGCTACATTCTTTCATCTGGGAAAGCCTCAGTGGGTATCTCTAAAAATACAGGGGCTTTAAAAACAAGTGCAGAGGACCACAATTACCTTTATAATATATAAAATAAAAGTTAATTTTCAATAACTGAATGCTTGCTCAGTTATTGTTCAAATTTTTCTGCTTGGTTCACAAGGGCTTTTTTGCAGTTGGTTGGTTTGAATGCTGCTTTGGCTGGTTTCTCTCTTGGATTCCTTTTAATCTGTAAATCCCATGGGGTTTGCAGAACCAGATTCCAGAGGCTGGAGAGATGATGAATTCATCCAGCTAACCACTATGCCTTAGTGAGGGTGGTCTCTCTCTCTCTCTTTTTTCTAATCTTTTATTTATTTATTTTGGTACAGGGGCTAGCTATATAGCTCAGACTCGTAGTGATCCTCCAGTCTCAGCCTCCCCAGCACTGAGATTATAGCCACCAAAACCAGATGGCTGGTTTCGGTGGCTGCACTGTGTGCCCAGGGTTCTGGGGCTGGCATGGCATGCGGTACCGGGGATCACACCTGGGTCCTCGTGCTTGCCAGGTAGCTGCTTAGATCGCTGAGCTATCTCGCCGGCCTGAGGATGGTACTCTTTTAGCAGGTCACACCATCACAGTCTCCATAAGACCAACTGCCACCAGCGAATGCCACTGACTGCTCACTCGCTATCCCCTCTGGATCCTCCTGTTAGAGGGCCTGCTTTATTCTGGGGAAAGGCTCTTACTTTGTCACCCTGTAATTTTCACCTGCTGGTAACACACCCTTTTACTCTACAGAATCCCACAAAATAAGAATGATTTGACTTGATTGGTGATGACGGTTCCTAAAACACATGTAAGTCCCATAAAGTGGAAGGTGCACTTACATACCAAGCAACCTGTGACTACAGAACTGTGCTCGGAACAGGTGTTCTGAGTTAAATGCATTAGATGCATGCACAGGGGACTTAAGACAAATCAAAAGGGGTCGTATCCATGGTGAACCTTGAAAAATACACAAAATGTTTCACATTTTTAGTTAGAAACACATCAAAGACCAAAAGACCCTTGTGACTCTTTTCTTTCTCTTGCAAACACACAGAAAGAACCCAGTGAGCGAACCACACAAGGACTGAAGCAAGGACGCAGCGCTGTGCTGTGCGCCTCGCGCCTCATGCCTGCTTCGCAGCGCGCCTGCACTTACTTTCAATCTGCGAGTGCAGATCGTTGACTATCACCTGTAGCTGCCCAATGCTCATGTCTCGCAGGTCGGCGGGTTTTAAACTTCTTTTCATTAAGCATTCACTTATATGAGGCATGTGTGGCAGCTGAGGAAACAAGGGGGGACAGAGATGTCAGCAGAGTGGCACACACCCACGTCTGGAGTGTGAGCCTAGTCTCGTGGTGGATCCACCCTCACTCACTGCCCTCTGCTCAGGCTCTGTGAGTACAGGCCTCCCCAATCTCTGACCTCCCCAGTGTGGGTTCCTACCCAGCATACCTCACGGCCTAACATACTGCCTGTTTCAAAATGCTGCACACCAGTATCAGAAGCTTTCTTATTGGTGTTGAACACAAGTGAATTAACAAGAAACATAAGTAACATCAACAAATAGATGGAATTAGCAATATCAGCTACTATTTAATAACTTAAACCATGCTACAAGCACTGTGTGCTGTGAAAGTTTTGTCTCATTGAATCCTCATAACCAATCTTCATATTGATCTCAGACCCATTTTACAGACTGAGAAACTGAGACTTATGCCCCTTGCCTAGCACACACATAGTTAAGAGTTAGATAATTCTGAAGTTCAAGGGCTATACTGCCTCCCTTGAAAGGTAGCAATACAATTATAGCAATAGTGAGATTTGTTACAGTCAAAATTTCTTTAAAGCAATTTAAATATTCCTATGACAGCCAATATTGCCTCTCAGAAAAGGAGTAGAGACTGAATCAAGAGGAGAATTTACTTTTGTGAAAGAAATGGTTTGCTTACGTATCTTCAACAGAAAGGAAAAAGAAACAATTATTTTTCAATGACAGCACTGCCTCTGAGAAACCCCAGTTTGCACAATCTTGGGAGAGGATGTCAACTGTTCACAGCCACCAGGCCCTTGTTTGTGTTTCAGACTTGGCTGCTTACAAGATCAGCAACAGGTGACTTTTTCCTGTTCTGTTTTTCTACTTCTACTTGCATCTTGGCCATTGGTTTGGCCATGGCAAGGGCCATCTTGGCTTCAGCTTGCAATTTCTTTTGCCTTGTGAGGAAGTCCATGTCGTCCAAGGATTCTGACTCTTCTTCAGTGGTGTCTCTATCAGAATAGGAAGAACTCTGCTTGCTCTGCAGAGGAAGAAAGAGCAGCCTTAGCTTTCCACACTGGTAAACATCTGATCAGTGTTGGGCAACCGCGTTCCCCGAGACGGCTGTCGGAGAAGGTGGAAGTTCCCTCTATCACCCCATCACTGCTCAAGTGGCTGTACACCGATCTTAAGTTACACAAAAAGGTTTATTTTCAGTAAAAGGAGCGATGTAATTAATAATAGGGAAAATACTAATAACATATTTAACCTAGAGCCAAGGCATCGTGTTCATGCTCCGAGGAGCTAGGAGATCAGAGAACAGTGATGTGACACTGCACTGACTTGGTGGCCACCATCTTTCGTACTTGGTGGTCTTTGGCAGAAAAGGCAACAGACAGAATTCAGAGAGGAAACACATCCAGCAGCAGCAAGCACTCATCACTATTGAGCTGACTTCTATAATACGTGGGAAAGAAATTAACTCATGTCTCTGAGCCCAAACTGATTCTTAGCTATTTTCTTCTTATAATTTTTAAAACATATCGCTTATAGTTTATGAAAGAACTCATTTAATCATCATAAGGCTTATATATTTTTACTGTACTATAGCTTTTGATTTTTCAATTGTTGTCAGCTTTTAGACGTACAGGATTCCAAGAGACTTTTTGGTTTTGATCATTTGGAAAGCTTGCTCTTGATTCACAACATGGAAGAAACTAAATGCCAGGAAGACACACAAATGCTTCCGCCAGTACGAGTCTGGACTCACCATGGGAGACAAGGGAGTGTCCAAGCTGGTTTCAGTCTTACTGTCATCAGCATCGCTGTCCTTGTCACTGCCACTGTCATTGACAAAGCATATCTGCAGGTTCATCCCACTCTGCAATCTAGGTAGAAATCAACAGGACATGAATTCTAGTAGCTGTTTATGGTTTTGGGCCACCGCCAGCAGACAGGGCTGATTCTGCTAACAGAAAGTTATACGCATTATTCACATGGGAGAAATGAGCGACCAGTACTGTTCTCCATTTATGAATGATTTTACCAGAGGAATGCCTACTATGGTGTTAAATTTTTTCTGAACAGTTTCATAAGAAGTGAAAAATAATTTAAGGCCATATGTTAGGACCCAGCGCAATTCCAGATACATATTCTGAGTTGATGAGTTTACAATCCTGTCAATCAGGATGATGGGGTCCTTGGCCAGATAAAGCTTCCTGCTGTCTTCTAGGGCCCCCTCCTAGGGGTCAATCTAAAAAAGCATATTATAGCCATCCCTTGGCCAAAGTTTTCAGAAAAAAGAATTATTTTCCTCTCAATAGTCTAGGGTTGTTTGAAGGAAATCTTTATTTAAGGTAGTTGCCAAAAACCAATTGAAGGAGCTCAGTTTATGTCACTAAGAGAGGAAAAAAACCACAGGCTTGCCCTAGAGAAATGTAAGGAAACCAAAACGCGGTCAGGAGGCGTGCCTTAGAACAGAGCAGGGTTCCAAGGCGGCCTCCTGCACAAAGAGCTGGAGTCAGGCCTCTGGGGAGCTTGTTATATCTGTGATGAATCCTGAAACTCCAGGAGTGAGTGTGTTATGCCTCAGATTCCACTCTGTCCTAACCCTTTTGTGAAGATGAACACACTTCAGTACTATTTGGCAATAGTTTTTATTTAATTAATTAATCACTTTGTTGTCTTGAGACAGGGTCTCACTGTGTAATTTAGTTTGGTCTTGAACTCATTGCATAGCTCAGGCTGGTCTCAAACTCACAGCAATCCTCCTGCCTCAGCCTCCCAAGTGCTGGGATTACAATATGCACCACTATGCCCAGCTCAAGTTTTTAAAGAAGTAATTTTCTTAGCATCTCTAGTAGCCCTAGTCTCTGTGCAAACACAGATTAAACAATAGTAAAGGAGGCTTGTAAGGCAATAAGAGATTCTAGGACACTGATTTTAGGCAGCTACAGGGCAGAGGACACTGGATTTGTTCTGGCATTATTATCTCCATAGGGAGAAATGCAAAGAAAAACTTACCTGATACTTAACATTTGTACTGGATTTTTTGGGGGGTTGGGAGATTCTGACGGTATGGATTCTTTGCTGACACTGTTCAGGTGACTGATTTAAAATGCTTCTTTGAAAATAATCCAGAACCCAGAACCCAAATGAAAACAAAAACAGAGCACTACTGATTTAACACAGGCAACACAACTGTTATGGGTATGTACTGCCACCTACTGTTCAGTTCTATGATTACTCAAGGTCCAGTTTTAAGTCCCCCTTTAAAAAATGCAACAGCCCTCTTCCCCATGGTGTCCAGCATCTTTCTCTCTTTCTTCCACCGGTACAGGTAAGAAGGGCCAGGCCCAGGGCTGCAGGGTGGGTGGAAGGCACCGGACTCTACTGTGATTGGGCTCAATGTGCTCAAAGCCAGTTGGACTTGGGTTTCAAATATTTCTTTCTTTCTCCAGACACGTAGCAAATTTCTATAAACTACAATTTCCTCATCTGTAAAATGGAGTGAATAAATACGTTCTTCTCTGTATGACTAGAAGTATTAAGAGTTCATCCAGAGCTTGGCTTGGGCCAGGGGCTCCTACGTGTCCTTCTGGAAACCCAAACAAAGGTGATTTGATGTTGTGAAGGGGCCTATGAAATCACCTGCCCGGTCCCTCTTGGCTGGCCACAGCAATCTGATTCACAATGACCTCTCTGTCAGAGTGCACTCAAGCTGTCCCAACTATTAGGCAGCTCGGTTCTCTACTGCACTGGAATTCGCCTCTGAATTTTGTTTTATTGGATCAGCCTGCCTACCTCCAGAAATCTAACCCATTCAAGTTTTCCTTTGATCCATATACATTTTCAAATTTCAGTATCTACAGTTGGTCTGAAAAACACAATCAATCTGCTTTTAATAATAACTCTCAAGATCCATGGTTTGGAAAATGATATGAAAGAAAACTTTCACAAGTTAAAATCAACTCCTTTTAAAGACTAGCATAATTACAAACCTAGGATTATGTAGCTCTTTTTTTATTCAATAAAATCTTGTAAAGAAGTATCTTGTCACTGTACATATAGATTAGAAAAATATATAAGATACATAACAAAACAAATGTCCATATGTTTAAAATGTTCAAAGATCTGTGATTTCACTCTGAAAAAAGTCTGGCAGGGCCGGGGAGATGGCTCAGTGGAATATGCGCTTCCCTGGCAAGCGCAAGGGCCTGAGTTCAATCTCCGGTTCCAAAAAAAAGTAAAAGTCTGGCTGGTACTCTATTGTTCTACATGAACTGACAGTTCTAGGAAGGCTCAACCCAGGCCTAAATAGAGTATCCCCGGCCGGGATTGTAACTCGGGAAAGGCAAGCAGAGAGATCTAATAGTTGGCATGAAAGGAAAAAACGCCTCAGGTAGAAATTCAGAAAATCGCCTTAGTACCACATTATCACCGCGGGAAACCGAACAGAGCTTCTTAAGGGCGAGACTTCTAATTCCTTACAGCGGTAATCACTGAGAATGTCACTCCCAGGAAAAGGAAATGGCATGACATTACAGCTAATGGGGCAGGAGGGATTTTAGTCAAGACATCTTAAAATGGGTTCAGGTTTTAAGAAGGATTTGTTTGCCTTTAGCCTTTAAGCAGGTTTTAATAGGAAGGTGGCCCTGGGTGAAACTTAACCATAGTTCCAAGCAGCAGCTTGACTGCAGGGTGTGGGGGACCCCCTGCCGTAGTGAAGGCTGTGCCACGGGGTCAAAACAGATAACCCTGCCCCAGCACCTGTAGTGGCTCTCCAGCCTCGCCTCTAAACAAGAAGCTCGCCAGGCTCCCGGCCCGCGCACCTCAGAGCCTGGGTCCGGCCTCACTCCTAACTAGTTTTGCAAAACTCAGGCTGCAGGCGGTCTAATTTGCCTGGATCTCTCCAGCACATTCTGAAGAGAAAACAAAACAAGAGCTTCATTTTGTTAATTACAGATAAGATTTCAAGGTATTTTATTCAGGGTTACTTGAAGTTTTCCGTGACACTGGCACAGCACACACGAACGCTGGGGAAGTCAGCCTTGCTGCGCGACTTTTTATCTGAAAGGTCCGGGGTCCTGATTACCCGAGAAACTTCTTGTCCTGTATACACCATGCAGGAACGCAGAGCTGCTGACAGGAGCAGCGGAGTCTGGAAAGAAGGCCTCCTAGATGGAGAAGGCCCAGAGCCCCGAGACGTAAAAGCCTGCGTGTATGTTCCAGACACCGCAGCGTGGCAGAAGGGGCTCCCCGCGTGAGAGCACGGACCGGCCAGGAGGGGGCGGCACTTAGGGGAGAGGCTGTTCTGCGCTTGTCTGCCTGGCGCTTACAGAGAGGAAGGCTGTGGCTCAGAAAACGGCTGTGCAGAGCTCCAGCTGCAGTTACCAGGGATATTACTAAAATATGCATGGCGCTGAGAGGTGGCAGAGGGGAGAAGTTCTTAACTACAGAAAGAAACCTCAGAAGCGCAACCAAGTGCACACAATTTGGCATAAAAATAACAGTGCTTTCAAAATACTCACATGAGACTAGTTTACTCTCTGAAGAAAAAAAACCACAATGCAGTGGTCCTAAAGCCTGCTGTTGGCTTTCCAAGGGGCAACAGCTATTGTGAAGCAGGCCTCTCTTTGTCTTTGATCCAGGCTGTGGTAAAGAAGGGCTGGTGTGAGGCCAGCTCAGAAGCCCAGAACTGTTCACTGTATTCTGCTGTTAGAAATGGGAATCTTCAACGCCAGCTTACACCACAAGCATTGATGCCTAAATATTTAAGATTCCCTGGTAATTATTGATCATCTGCTAGTCCACCAGGACTCACAGAATGTCTCCTGAACTGGTGGGTTGAATTTTAGTTTAAGAGTATGCTCACTTACATCTATTCCTTGGGCTACATAATTATACCCAGAGGTCACAGGAAAGATATCCTGAGACATGTCAAGTAACACGCCCCAGTCTTGTGACAGACTGATAAAAACATGGTGCCAGTTCGTCCCCTCCTTACATTTCTGTACTGTGGCTTTGATAGCTTCTCTCAGAGTCTATTTCTCTGTCCCTGGACTGGCTGTGTTACTTCTTGTGACCCTCTGGAAACCGTGCAGTTGACACTGTTCCAGCTCCAAGTCTCTTCCTCAAGAATTCTGTGACAGCCAGGACCCTCAGAAAAAGTCCAGGCAAGGCTGCTGGAGGGGGAGGTGTCACAGCAGAGCTCAGTCCTGCAGTTGTCCCAACAGAAGGCCCAGACACAGGAGAGCTCAGCTAAAAGCAGCAGCAGAGGCACCTCGCTGATCTCTGGTTGACTCAGGCATAGGAGTGAGCCACTGCCTCGTCCTTAGCAGCAGAACCACCCAGCCAACCCATGAGCTCCTGAGCAAAAACAAATCAAAAACAAATGCTTATCCTTGCACCCTTTTGATGTGAGTGGTTTTTTTTATTATGCATCATCACTGTGGGAATAGGTAGATGGCCCAAGGTCATAAAGCAAGAGATTTCAGGCTAAGCATCTGATCTTTGAATCCAGGGACCTATCCCACGTAAGACACTAAACCTCAGATTTGGATTTATAGTATTAGATGCTGCCCGAGCCTGGCAATATAATTTTAAAGGGCATCTACCTCCTGTATTTGCTTATAATCCCGAGACAACTGTCTGGTTTTTCTCAGGAAGCAGAGAGAGGGAGCATCTCATATCCATGGGCGTCGTGTATGCCCTTTTATCTGCCTGAGATCAGTGTGGCTCGTAAGCCACTGGCTCTGCTGGGCCCTTCATACCAACATCCCCAGCTAGTTTGTGGCTCAGTGGTTAAAATTTACTATTTCCACTTAATTTAATGAATCTTTGATGCATTAAAGATTTTTCTACATAATGAATAATCACCCATATTTTT